AAATGAATTGCTAACATTTGCAATTAAAATAAATGTCTATGAGACATAATTGTCAAAATAGTAATTATGACTTGGTGAGCTAGAAACAGTCTGAAAACTTACTTGAAATTAAATTCCTGTCTTCTATATAGACTCAAAAAAATATATATTTAAAAAAAAAAGACTGAAGAAAGGATCTCTCTTCCACTATTTCGAATACTTAATAGCTAATTTCATAACATCACATGTACCATTTTAAGGAAGTGATGATTTAGTGGGAAATTAGTGCTTTGCATTTGTATACTGTAAATATAAATGACTATTTGTTTGAAATGTGTAACTTTGATATGCAAAAGATAACTCACAATGTTAATATTAAATATTCCTTTAAAATAAAAATAAATAAATAAATAATAAAATAACTGTAAGTAATATTAGGAAGATATCTTAATATGAAATAAAGAACAAGTATATATTGTTCCATACATACCACCATTCTTTGGTAACTGTATATCCCTTTCCTTTGACAATTTATGGCACCAACAAAGATTTCAAGTGCTAGTAATCAATACCACACTCTTCAGAGGACAACTCCAGGTGCTTCATGAACCTGGAGCTAGTCCAACAGAAAATTAAATTACTGTGGATTAGAGAGAATATTGCGTACATTCCTTTAAGGATTGGTGATATAAATTAAATAACTTCTAATGAAAGTCCAAATTTTTAGCACTCAATTTAATAATGAAACAAACTTCAACAAATTATTGTCATGTATTTGACAATAGTAAAATATTTTTCACCATTTATTCTAAGGTAAAGTGATTCATTAGTTCAATGCCCAGATGTAATAGTTATATTTCTATATTTTATCTACTACACATCCTACCTATGAAAATATGTTTATACATCATTGCTATTTGTGCCACCCTGACACCAAGCATACATGTTTTTGTGATCTCATTTTTATTTAATAATAAATGGTAAATTTTAAACAGCATTTATTTGTGTAGGTCTATCTTTCCTGGTGCTGAATAAAAAGTGTATGGTTGCTTTTGTTAATAAGAAAATTAATTTACTTTGTAATGAAGATTATTTATTAATTTGTAAGCTATTTCAAAGTTGGAGTTTTTGTTTCTATTTTCTTTAAAGTGTGTAGTTTGTTTCATAAGTTCCTTTTTCAGTGATGAAACCCATTTAAGCATGAGGTAGGAAGGTTTCACAAAAATTTCTGGGAGGGGGAAAAAAATTCTGGGAGGGGAGATTTGAGGAGATCAACTATACTGTGTTCTCTGAAGGACAAAATTTCTTGGCTTACTAATTTTATTCAAATTCAATCCTGGTGTGCACGAACACAAACTTTAAAAAGTTAAATATATAGCTTCAGTTTATAGCTCCAGAGACATGGATACAAGGAACAGACTGAAAGATCTAAGCGGGAAGGGGAGTGATGGGACAGGAAGAGATTAACCAAAGAACATATATGTGTATATGCGTATCCCACAGACAATAGTGTGATGAAGGCCTGGGATGGGGGTCCAGGGTAAGTGGGTTGAATGAATGGGTAAATGAGGGGGGAATGTGGGACATCAATAATACTGTCAACAATTTTAAAAATTAAATTAAAAATCAATAAAGAAATATCAAATGTATTTTAAGAAGAGTTTAAATAAGTAGTTGTATCCACTTTTATTTATGATCTAATTTTTGAATTGCTCAAGTTACTTATTTCTGATCATGCTTTTTTAAAGTAGTAAAGTTGGGATATATTAATAAAGAAAACTCGGGGATATAAATGTAATGTTTTTGCATAATCTGGGTAAACCCTAGTACAGAAAATCATCCCAAGTTTCAGAGCAAGTACTCACTAAGTGCTACACTGAAACTCCATGCATTCTCAAGTAGCAGCCTCCCTAACTATAGTGGTAATGCTAATAAAACTTCAAAAATATGTCTGTAATCAACAGGTAATAATTTAGAAAACATAGAAACAGAAAACACTTATACTGACACCTTTATTCACATAGACTATAATTCTGTATGCAAGATACTTATTTTATAGACTTTGAGCTTTTTTTTCCCCCTTTTATGTACAGGTTGATGTATTTTTGTACACATGGCAGGTGATCAATAGATGCTTAGTAATTACAGATCAATAGTTGATTAGGCAACCATGAAAAATGAGATAGAATTCCTAGAATTAGAGCAAGATCCACTTTTGGATCCTTCTTTAGGCAATGTTGTGCCTCAGTTTTCACAGACATGAAATATAGGTAATAGGTTGCTGTGAGGTTCATCTGAGATTATTATGAAAGCACCTTGTAAATGGTAAAATGTCAGGAATTAGTATTATTTATTATTAATTAAATTACTATTATTTACCTTTTCACTTAAATTATAAAACATCTCTGAAACATTCCATTTATGATCTATATAGTTATTTAACAAACACAATGCATCAGCCTTTTGAATATACTGCTAGTAAATGCCTAATTAAAGAAAAAGGAATAACAATTTAAAAAGGGGAAAAGAAAAAAGTAAACTAAAAAAAAAACAGTTTATTAGATAAGTGTGTATGCTGGATCACAGAACTGTTGTTTAGTTCAATAAGAAAAAACCTTTGTGTTTCTATTCATTTTTTATGTTCTTTATAAAAATTAATCATTTTTTCTTATCTTAAAATGTTTAGTCGGAGAAAAAAAATTGATTATCATGACTTTTACCATTTTATATAACTATCAATTTTTTTAATTTTTTAAATTAAATTATAATCTTTGTACATATACCATTGCCCTCCCCCTCCTATACATGTCCTCCATCCCCAGAGTTTTGTGTCCATTGGTTGTACTTATATGCATGTATACAAGTCCTTTGTTGATTTCTTATCTCCCCCAGATCTCCCTACCCTCCCTGCTGTAATTTGACAGTCTGCTTGTTGCTTTATTGTCTCTATATCTATCTTTTGGTTCTTCAGTTTATAATGTTCTTTATCATCCATAAATAAGTGCGGTCATGTGGTGTTTCTCTTTCATTGACTGGCTTGTTTCACTCAGCATGATGTTCTCCAATTCCATCCAGGTTGCTGCAAATGATGACAATTTCTTCTTTTTTATGGCAGCATAATATTCCATTGTGTAGATGTACCATAGTTTTTGGATCCAATCATCTGCTGATGGGCACCTAGGCTGTTTCCAAATCCTAGCTATTGTAAATTGTGCTGCTATGAACATAGGGGTGCATATATCCTTTCTGATTGGTGTTTCTAGCCAGCAGTGCATGAAGGTTCCTTTTTCTCCGCAACTTCGCCAAAACTTGTCATTTTTTTATTTGTTGTTGTTGGCCATTCTGACAGGTGTGAGATGGTATCGCATTGTTGTTTTGATTTGCATCTCTCGGATAATTAGTGACTGAGCATGTTTTCATGTGGCTCTTGGCCTTCCTTCTGTCTTCTTTTGAGAAGATTCTATTTAGATCCATTGCCCATTTTTTTAATTGGATCATTTATTTTTCTTTTATTAAGTTGTATAAGCTGTCTGTAGATGTTGGAGATTAAACCTTTATCAGTGATAACATTTGCAAATATGTTCTCCCACACAGTGGGCTTTCTTGTTGTTTTGTTGATGGTTTCTTTTGCTGTAAAAAAGCTTTTTATTTTGATTTAGTCCCACTTGTTTATTTTCTCCTTAACTTCCATTGCCCTAGGGGCAGTATTAGTAAAGAAGTTCTTTTTGCATATGTCTGAGATTTTGCTGCCTGTAGATGCCTCTAGTATTTTTATGATTTCCCATCTTATGTTTAAGTCCTATATCCATTTTCAGTTTATTTTTGTGTATGGTGTAAGTTGGTGTTCTATTTTCATTCTTTTGCATGTATCTGTCCAATTTTCCTAACACCATTTATTGAAGAGACTGTCTTGACTCAATTGTATGTTCGTGCCTCCTTTGTCAAATATTAACTGAGCATAGTGATTTGGGTTGATATCTGGGTTCTCGATTCGATTCCTTTGATCTATATTTCTGTTCTTGTGCCAGTACAGGCTGTTTTGAGAACAGTGGCTTTGTAATACAGCTTGAAATCTAGTATTGAGATCCCTCCTACTTTACTCTTCTTTCTCAGGATTGCTGTGGCTATTCAGGGTCTTTTGTTGTTCCAAATGAACTTTTGAAGAGTTTTTTCTAGGTCAGTGAAATATGCCATCGGTATTTTCATGGGGAGTGCATTGAACCTATAGATTGCTTTGGGAAGTATGGACATTTTGATGATGTTGATTCTACCAATCCATGAACATGGTATGTTCTTCCATCTGTTTACATCTTCCTCTATCTCTTTTTTCAGTGTCGTGTAGTTTTCCGCGTATAGGTCTTTTACCTCCTTAGTTAAGTTTATTTCTAGGTATCTTAATTTTTTTGGTGCGATGGTAAATGGGATTGCCTTTTTAGTCTCTGTTTCTGCAAGTTCACTATTGGTGTATAGAAATGCCATAGATTTCTTGGTGTTAATTTTGTATCCTGCTACATTGCCAATTTCATTTATTAAGTCTATTAGTTTTTTATGTACAATATCATGTCATCTGCAAATAAGGATAACTTTACTTCTTCTTTTCCAATTTGGATTCCTTTTATTTCTTCTTCCTGTCTAATTGCAATGGCTAGTACTTCCAGTACTATGTCAAACAGGAGTGGTGAGAGTGGGCATCCCTGTATGACTATCATTTTGAGTTTATGTTTAATTGTATGAGAAAATAGTGCCTATTGGTGGATTTTCCTTGAGAGTATCTTTTAAAAATTATTTGATCCCACCTTGAATCCTTGAAATCTTTCTCTGCAAAACAGATTACTGCACACATGTGGGTCTGTAACTAAAACCTCTGCATAGTTAGAAACTCATTAACTGAGATTTTCTATAGCAGATCTGAGCTCACTAAGAGTTAAAAAATATACGGATATTTGAGTGTGATAGGCTAGCTCTCTAACTGTCTTTCTCCTTACAGATAAGTGATGAGCATTTCATACCATAATTCAAGCATGTCAGCTTCCAACTATTCCACTGTCAATTACAATATGTTTGTCCTCATTGGCATCCCCGGGTTAAGGGAGTTACACACGTGGATCTCTGTTCCCTTCTGCCTGATGTACCTGGTGGCCGTGGCAGGAAATGGAATCCTGATCTACGTGGTGGCAGTAGACCACAGTCTTCATGAACCCATGTACCTCTTCCTCTCCTTGCTGGCTTTTTGGGATCTGATCCTATCCACATCTACAGTACCCAAAGCTCTGAGCATCTTCTGGTTTGATGACGTGGACATCTCCTTCGGTGGTTGTGTAACCCAGCTCTTCTTCATGCATTTTGCCTTCGTAGTGGAGTCAGGCATTCTCTTGGCCATGGCTTTTGACCGCTATGTAGCCATCTGCTACCCACTGAGGTATACCACCATTCTTAGCCATGGTGTCATTGGCAAAATAGGGGGCGCTGTAGTGCTTAGGGGTTTTGCAACTGTTTTCCCCATCGTCTTCCTTGTGAAACGCCTGCCCTTCTGCCGGACAAACATCATTGCCCACACATTCTGTGAGCACATGGGGCTGGCAAAGCTGGCTTGTGCTGATATCACCGTCAATATTTGGTATGGAATCTCTGTGCCATTGCTCAGTGTTATGCTAGACATGGTGGCAATAGTTGTCTCCTATGGGCTTATTCTGCGGGCAGTTTTCAGGCTGCCATCCCACGATGCTCAGATGAAAGCGCTCAGCACCTGTGGTTCCCATGTCTGTGTCATCCTCATGTTCTACCTTCCAGGGATTTTCACTGTCATTGCTCAGCGCTTCGGCAGAAAAATCCCCAAGCACGTCCACATCCTGCTGGCCAATCTGTATGTTCTTGTTCCTCCCATGATGAACCCAGTTATCTATGGAGTAAAGACTAAACAAATTCGTGAACGAGTGGCCCTTGTATTTTCTTTAAAAGGGAAGTATTACTGAGGTTGACTGGATAGTATTGTGGTTTTTGATAGGCAAAGGACTTGTATGCATGCATATAAGCATAACCAATGGATGCAAGACACTGGGAGTTGGGGTTGAGGGCATGTGCTGAGGGGTAGAGGAGTCTGGAGAAGATCAATGGGGGAAAAAAGGGAGACATATGTACTACTACTTGTAATACTTTAAACAATAAAATTAATTTTTTTTTAAATAGAAAAGAGGAGAAACAGTTGCCATTTAGGGTAGGCTCTACTCACTGTGAAATTAGGCAACAAAATATTTTTTTAAGGATGACCCGAATTGCATGAGTTCCTTATTTCAGACGTAACTAGGATCTTGAAAATCAGTGTATTAACAAAATTCTATTTTTGCATGCCCAAGGTTTCTGCAATATTTAATAACATAGCATCTCTATTTCTATCAAAAAAATTTTTTTAAAAAACACTGCTCCTTCATCTGCTATTTAAATTTTAGATTTCTGGGTCCTCCCCAACAGCCATGATGGATACAAATTAGAATGGGTGAACACCAACATTGTGTACAAATTGGGGAAACACAGAGGCTCCCCCCACTTCTAGTTCATTTTATTCACTAAAGACCTGAACAGTCTTGGTATACAAATGTGCATGCCTGATAGCACCGTGCACACAGATGAAATGACATTTTCTGCTGTAAGTATCAATACATGATTTGAGAAGATTAAAAAAAAGAACAAGATAATTAAGTAAAGTGTTTGGAGATGTAATCTGCCTTGGATGCTGAGTGTTCCATAAAGCCCTCCTCTTTTTAATCTTTTTAACTTCTATCTCACAGGGTTGTTGTATGAAGACCCAATAAGAGAGTAGATGCCAATGCACTTTAGAAACTATAAAGTTCTGTACAAATGTATTGTGTCACTGTCATTAATGTCACTGTGTTCTCTGATATGAGCTTTCACCCTCCCTATGGTCATAGGTTAAGAACAAAACAAAGCAAAAACCCTGTCCTTTGTCTGCGGCAAAGTCCTTCTAGTCCCTCCTCCTTTCTTTTCCCATCAGGTTTCATCTCCCTACAATGAAGCAGCCTAGCAGAGGTGCATCACCCACTTTAGACAGAGGACGGCACAGGCAGGCACAATTCAGGTGCAGGTACTCCATCCCCACTGCCCACATTTCCAGGCAGTATGGCCCAGCCTTGCACTTCTTATCCTTCAAAATCTCCTATAGAAATTTTCAAAAAAAAGTTTTACCTTGCTCCATAACCATGGAACTTCTTTCTTTCCAGCTGTCTGCTCAGATTTCTGGCGTTTTGTGGGGTATAGAGAAAATAGATTTTTGTGTTTTTCCGAAGTCAGAGTTTCTGAATAAATTTTGTCAAAATCTTGGGATCCTGGGCTAAGACCAAGTCTTGGGAAATTAATGTATAACTATAGTGAATGAGATAACTATAGATAGTGAGAGGACTCCAGAAAGATTAAACTCCAGAAGTTTGGAGACGTGGCTGGGTTTTAGAGATAAAGACAATGGTCTTATCTTTTCCCAGAGAGATTTATTTCCCATCTGTTTCCAAAGAAACTTTCTCGGAAGAAGGGAAGGTAGAGAGAGCAGGAGCAGTCTCTCTGGATTTTATAAACAGAGAAATACAGTTCTCATTTCTTGACTTTGTATTTATATGACATTTGACCTGAACTTCATTGTATAGCCCTAGGGCTAAGAATTGGGTGTGAGGGACCACACAATTATTATTTGCTTTTTTTAAATATATAGATATTTTATTGATTTTCCACATAGAGGAAGGGAGAGGGATAGAGAGCTAGAAACGTCAACGTCGATGAGAGAAAAACATTGACCAGCTGCTTCCTGCACACTCCCTACGGGGATGTGCCTACAGCCAATGTACACGCCCTTGACCGGAATCGAAGCTGGGACCTTTCAGTCCACAGACTGACGCTCTATCCACTGAGCCAAACCGGTTTTGTGCAATTATTTGCTTTTTATGTAAATAATGATAATATGTCCCTGATCCAGAATACTTGTATACATTCAGGATAAAACTGATAACATGAATATTTAAGACCCAACACAGGATCAGTACAAACTTCCAGTATAAATGGTCTTCTCAACCCTCTAATTCTTGGGTGGCTGCTGTACCTATGCCCATCCTTTTCTCTACTTCCCACTCTATTTCCTGTAGCCACATAAATACATATACCTAAAGGAGCCTGTCTAAATCACAATAAAGTAATGTGTTCCTCCCCACTCCCAACAATATTATCAAGCTTCAGAATATGAAGGGTGATTGGGGGAAAAATGATAAGGGGACATAAAAGTCACAGGTCAGAAAAAAAGAGCCCAGAAATGGCTGAAGCTCAAGTTCTAAGTTAAGACATCACGGCCAGGGCAACACCCAGGTCAGTGAGTGGACTTCAAAAGGATGTTCAGTGTGTGCTGGTGAAAGCTTAGTAACTAACTTTTGGGGGTTTGATTTGTGGATTTGCTGTGTCACAAAGTATAGATGCTTCCACTATGACTGATTTCAAAAGACTTCCTGGAAAAATTCCTAAAAAATTAATACTTTGCTCTTATGAGTCAGTATGAAAAGCTCTAGCATATCACTGATTATAGCTCTTAATAGGCCTAATATACTTGGATTAAGATGAACCTGAAAATTTCAGCATTGGTTTAACTCAGATGTGAAGGACTGAAGTTAGTATAGAGAAAATCCTGCCTCACTGGGAGGTAGGATTATGAGTGGATAAGAACAAAGATTTTTGGAATCAGGCACACTTATTACTACAATGAACATATTTTTTAACTTCTTTATTAGGTAAGATTCACAAAATAAATTTCACCATTTTAACCATTTTATATGTTGAACAACAATTGACACTAATTCCAAAACATTTTTGTCACCCTTAAAACAAACCCAATACTCATTAAACACTTTTTAAAAAATATGTTTTTATTTATTTCAGAGAAGAATGGAGAAGGAGAGCGAGAGATAGAAACATCAATGATGAGAGAGAATAATTGATCAGCTGTGTCTTGCACGCTCCACCCTGGGGATGGAGCCTTAACCTTGGCATGTGCCCAGACAGGGAATTGAACAATGACCTCTAGGTTCATAGGTCATTATTCAACCACTGAGCATGCTGGCCAGACTCTCTTTATTTAAACTTCCCCAATCACCTGGCAATGTTAATTAATTTTCTGTCAATATGGATGTGCCTATTCTGAACTTTTCACAAAAATAGAACCATACAATATGTCAGCCTTTTGTGATGGCTTTTTTTCACTTAACATAATGTAGGGTCAATGCAAGCAATAAATATTTAGCACCAATCATGTGATAAAGGTCTTTGAAGATATGTTAGAATATTAGGGTTTTATTCTAAGCAAAATGAGTAACTGTTCAATGATGTGCAATAATTTTAAGTAAAGGACTGACATGATCTAGTTGAAGTTTAAAGTAATAGCACTCTAATTTTTTAGTGAAAAATTAAATGGAAGAAAAATAAAATAAAGGTAGCAAATTTTTAAATGAGGCTGCTGAGAAAAATCCAGGACAGAGAGAAAGTAGTGATCACATTTTAATGTGAAACATGAATGAATTTAAGGATATTAAGAAGGCATAGTTAACAGTAAATTAAGTTTGAAATAATTAAAGAAAATAAATTTTTTTAAAAACAGATTTTGACATGGGAATCTAGTTGACTTTTGTACCATTTAGTTAATATAAAGAGTTCAAGAGAATGTGTTGATCATGAAGAAAAGAAGAGAAACAGATGGTACTTTTTTTTCATGTAGATTTTTAAAATGGGATAGTCACAAGAAGTTATCAAATAGAAAATTAACTATATGGGACAGAAAGAATTGGGAGCTGGCTTTATTTAGACTTTTCACCAGTTTACATTGATGGTTATTGAATTTATGAGTTGACTGTGTGCTAGACAAATTTAACCTCACAACAAGACTAGGAATTCAGTACTACACTTTCTCTTATTTTAAGAAGAGAAAATTGAAACAAGATAAAGGGACCAAAGAAAGAGTAAAAATTTTGTGTATTTATGTTTTTGATGGTAGAAAATTAGGATACTTCCATCTGAAGCCTATCATTTTCTTGAGATTTGAAAAATTCTTTCCTCTCTTTCTTTAATTCTATCAATTATTTTCTCCAAGAGAAATGAAGTCTTGAAATTTATAAACATTGGATCCATTATTAGAGGGCTTTCTATTATACTAGTGATTTACATAAGAAATTCTATTTTGTTGTCATTGTGGTTTTCTTTCATTTTCAATTACAGTCAACATTCATTAGTACTTTATATTAGTTTCAGGTGTACAGCATAATGGTTAGACAATTATATAATTTATGAAGTGATCCCCACCTATAATTCTAGCCATCTGACATCATGCATAATAATTATAATATTATTGACTGTATTCCCTGTGCTGGTTTCTGCATCCCCAGAGCTATTTTTTTAACTACCTATTTATACTTCTTAATCCCATATTTTTCACCAAACTCCCAGTCCCTCTACCATCAAGCAACCAGTTTGTTCTCTGCATCTAATAGTCTGTTTTTGTTTTTTTTATTTATTTATTTTGTTCTTTATATTTCACATATAAGTGAAATCATATGATATTTGTTTTTCTCTGTCTGAAAAATAAATTATATTAAATAAATATAATTACTTGACTTTCCACAATCTCATGTCCTTAGCCCCATATCACTATTCCCTTTAGGAAAGAGTAGGAGGACAACCTTGTCCCTGATCTGCTTTGTTTTTACACCGTAAATGATGGGATTGACTGCAGGAGGGATTGCTACGTAGAGATTAGCAAACATGATGTGAAAGGTGAGAGAGATGTTGTGACCAAAGCGATGTGTAACGGCAGAGAACAAGGCTGATGTGTAGAATATGAGAATGACACTGACATGAGACCCACAGGTGCTGAGAGCTTTCTGGCGGGCATCTCTAGATGGAAGGTGAAAAACAGCACGAAGAATGAGAGTGTAGG